CTTCACCAAATAATTGAATAAATAAATCAAATTTAGGTCACTTATCACAGGTGAAAGGCCTGAACTTCACCAAATAATTGAATAAATAAATCAAATTTAGGTCACTTATCACAGGTGAAAGGCCTGAACTTCACCAAATAATTGAATAAATAAATCAAATTTAGGTCACTTATCATAGGTGAAAGGCCTGAATTTTTACCAAATAATTAAACAAAATTTCACCTTTAGGTCAGTCATTAAAATGCGAAAGGCCTGAAGTTTACCAAATTATTAAACAAAATTTCACATTTAGGTCAATCATCAAAAATGAAATGCCTGAATTTTACCACATAATTGAATAAAATTTCACATTCAGGTCAGTTAGAAATGTACGGCCTTCACTCATCACAGGTGGAAGTCAGGAATTTGACCAAGTTATTTAATAAAGTTTCACATTTGGGTCAGTCACGGGTGTACAGCCTTCACACATCACAGACATAGGGCCTTCTCTTATCACAGGCGGCGGAAAGGCCTAAATTTTACAAAATGATTAATTAAAATTTCACAATTAGGTCAGTCACAGAAGTGTAGCGCCTTGACTCATCACAGGTGAAAGGCGGGAATTTTACCAAATAATTGAATAAATAAATCACATTTAGGTCACTCATCAAAGGAGAAAGGTCTAAATTGTTCAAATAATTGAATAAAATTTAGTATCCAGGCCATTCACAGGTGTAGCGTCTTCACTTATCACAGACATATGCCTGTGGCTAAGTGAGTCGTGAGTTTAGATAGACTCAAGAGTAAAGTCAAGCAAGTGTCTATGACATGGGGATCAGATGCCTGGTCACTGGGGTGTGTCCTTGAGCAAGACACAAAGACCCTAGCTAAAAAAACAGGGCGCTACACAGTGGCGACCAGCTATGGCAGGGTTGTGAGAGTATTCCCGTATTGGTGTAATATTGTGTATTTATGTATGTTATATGTATGTATGTGTTTATAATTATGCTTTTGGTAAATTTTTACTTTCACTCCTGCACACAGATGCACAGCTTCGGGGTCAAGCTGCAGTACTGTTTGCTGCGGATCCCACATAAAGCCAATAAAACTGTCGCAAATCATTTATTTTCAAGAAAATTTCAAATCTAACTGTAAAATATCAAATTATGGATTAAAACGGGGGGGCATGCCTCCCTGTGACCCCCCAGATTTTCTTTTACCCCAGTGGGGCAAGCCCCTCTGGAACCCCCCAATTGGTCCGAAGCACGTCTGTCTCTATTAAGAACAATCAGATATTTCAAAAACTTAATTTGCGACGGAAATGAAGTTGATATTCGCATTCAGCGCATCAATATTTAGATCTAGTAGAAAATGGACAACTGGTAGCAAAGTGTGAGACGGGAGGGAAAGTAAAAAAATATCTTTTTTTTTTAGTTATGTATTTGTGTTTTTATTTGGCTTTGTAAACCAACTTGCCTATCTAGGGTCAATAAAATGTAATATCCCTTTACTGCATACTGTTTCCAATAATTGGCAACATACCTAAAAGGGGGCGCTACTGTACACACATTTTAACTTTTGATGTTTTAGTTATTTCCCCTCACTTTTTACAGCCTTTGTCATTATTTTATACTGCTCTGACTGTGGTAGCTGCGCAATCAGGGTTTTACTGGACGAATAAAATAAGGTTGCACAAACCGGTAGGCCTATATTCTCAAATTGGGACAAAGAATTTAGGACACGTCACTGTGAAGGAGAGCAGACACGTTACAAAAAATTGTTTGACATTAGTGGAACATTTGACTTTGTGAAAATAAGTTGGCTATCTCCGTTGATCAAGCATGTAAGGAGCAGAAGGAAGTTTTTCTTTTATGCCAAACGAAGTGACTATCCGAATATACAAAAATTATATTCAGACTCTGAATTGAGTCCAGCATGGCGTCCATTCGACTTCCGACCCTCGTTCCTGAATATGGTAAATTTATTTAATTTATAGAAACCCTCCCGTCTCTTAAAGGGTATTATTTTGTAGCTTTTTAAGGTTTTTTAGGGCCTTGAACACGATTTTGGCATTGATAAATGTCGCAAATGGTTAGTTTCGATGTTACGGCAATTTATTTCAGGGGTGGGACCCGCCCTACTCTACTTCTAGATCTAGAATCTACACAACTATATTCCATATTTCCAGCATTTAAGGGGGGGGGGCTACACCTGGAGGCTATCTCGCTTATTACTGGACCGAATTTTACCAACTTTCACACATATAACAAGCATAGATCTAGTAAGGAGTCTTAAAATCCGCAATCAAATTTGAGAAAAAAGTTTCGTTTCCATGGATACGCCGCCATATTGGATTTTATTGACATGTCTTACGTAATGAATACCGCACTTATCGCTCATGGAAATTGATTGTTTTTTTGCATGCGTGTTCACAAACATTAGATCTAAAAATTTGTCCGTTGTTTTTTTCCTAATCGAATTAGAAAATTTTTAATGAATTTTTTTCTGAGGTAACATTCAAGTTTGCGAAAAATCGGTGAAAATCCACACTCCGGACACACCAACAAAAATCTATTCCAAATATCAAAAATTCAACAGACAAATTTTTAGTATTATCTCTTCTCTTCATTCTGTGAAAATTTCATGAAGATTGAATGAAAAATGGTGGCGTTATTCAAAAAAGTATAGAGAGAAAAGTCGCATTTTGAGAAAACGGCCGATAAAGAAAAATAAAATACCGACTTTATGAGGAAATGGCGGTTACAAACATGCCCGGTATGGGAAACAATACGGTTTTGGGGGGTTCTTATGCTATGAAATAGTTGTAGGAGAGGCTGAGGAAGCTAAAAATGCCTGCAACTCAAATTCCATGATTTTGAGCCGAATTTTGATTTTGGCCCCCCCCCCTTAATTTAGACTGAATTTTTTCGATTATAATGATAACATTAACAATCGAGACGTGAGCTATAATATCCAGTTAGATCTACTAGATTTCTAGATCTATCTAAACTGGCCCTCCCTGCATCATTAGTATGATGAACAGAACAACCAACCACAAGTTGAGTTGACCTTGCCAGGGGTTAAGTTAATTATGTCGACCACGCACTCTCGGCTTGCAGGGGGAAGAGGCCACGGCTGTCCATTTTGTGCGATGTGATTTTTTAAAAAATAATTACAGAAAAACGATCTAGATTCTAGATCTAGATTCTAGATCTATACATGTGGCATGTGGAAAGACAAATGGTGGTAGAAGTAATAATGATACTATAATGGTGGTGTAAAGACCCTGAGCCTGAGTTGTAGTTGTTGGTTACCGTGTACTTAGACAATGCCATAGGGCAATGAGAGTGCAGTCTTTTGACTTTTGACACTATTAAACAGTCCTAGAAGAATCTAGATAATTCTAGATCCAGATTCTAGTTAGTTCTAATTCTGGTTTTACGTAAAAATCTCCCGACAACAGTTATAGTACCCTCTTTACACTCACATTAACTCAATTAGAAGCTGAGTCCAAATAGATAAAACCCATATTCGAACTCGAGTCCGAATTGAATAGATATACAATCAAATCGGACTCGAGTCTGAATAGAGCTGGCCGTTGCCAAAAGGCAACACCATGCACCCCGATTGGCAAAATCCTCCTAAAAGCCTGGAATACTGGGCAAAAATTTCAAAAATCATAGATTTGTGTTATAATGACCCTAAGAAGCCCACGAAACAGCAACAATAATTTTTTACAGTGATATTTCATAATTCATGCAGTTAAGGGACATGCGCGCACACATACACACAGACACGCACACACATACACACTGGCTCGCAAACATGGTGTGCTCATTTTTGTATCAACCCCTCCCTCCCCCTTTTCCTTCCATTCTTATTTATAACTTTCCCTCCATCTCATGTCCCCCCTCCCACCCCCTCGTGGGTGGTTGGTGAATGCTGTGGTGTGGTTTGCTCCGCTCCTTCTTTCCTATCAAACATCTCTATCGTCTTCATCTCTCCTCTTTCCTTTTTGTGTATGTTGCTCTCTTGTAACACATCTATTCTTCGGCACTTATATGACCTTATTGTGTTGCAAGTGCCGTAAAACTCATACTAAAATTAAACCCTTTCCAACAGGACCCCTGGTCCCAGGTGCGAGTCATCAACAGACCAGCAGGCTTACAGGTCAGTTACTTTCTCTTACTCTTTGGTCTTAGGGAATAGGTATTCCCTGTAATGTCCTGCACCAATTTATGTAACTGCTGAGTCATATGTTATAATGTGCGGATGTATGGGCCAAAGGCCTTCAAATCAATGATATATATGTACATAAAATCATTTTCGAAGTGGCTAGCTGTACTCTAGCCTGAGAGTCTAGCCGTATTTATGCTAGACTGCCAGTCTAGCGGTTCTTAGATCTAGGTTTGGGCCTGTCGGCTCAAACCTGTACACAGGTCTCATTAGATCTAGATCTAATAATTATTCAGGTTTAAAATACATGCAAGTCAGTTAGGCACCTTTTGGTTTTGTCTGAAATTTGAAATACAAATACGTTAGGCATTGCAAACTAAAAATTTCATTTACAATTCAGCCATCAATAATAAGTACGGCTAGCCTGATGGTCTAGCCGTACTTATCTTAGGCCCTATTAACATTATAGTCATTAGAAAACAGGTCTCATTTAATAGTAATTATTCAGGTTTAAAATACATGCACTGTCAATAAGGCACCTCTCAATTTGTCTCAAATACAAATACTTTAGGTACTGCAAACTAAGAATTTATTTACAATTCGGTAGGCCTATTTTGTTTTTGTTTTGGTCAGTCTAGTCATCATATTAAAAATAAGTACGGCTAGCCTCTTCCAATCATTTGGAAATTTGGAAATCTTGCTCTGTGTAATGGTGTAAGTTTAAAGGCAACCACACAAGCGCCAGTCTCACCCGTGGGTGGTTGGCGGGTGCTCTGGTGTGGTTTGCTCCTTCTTTGCTGTTAAATATCTATCGTCCTGATCTCTCCCCCTCCTTTTTTGTGTTTGTTACTCTCTTGTAACACCTCTAATCTTCGGCACTTTTATGACCTTATTGTGTTGTTATTATAGCTCAATTGATGTAACTCTGGGCTGTGGTGAGTGCGAAAGGCCGTGGTTTGATTGTCACTGAAATTGTTTTTCATTGTTTTTTTTGGTTTGTTTGTTGTTGGGGGTTTTTTTTTGGGGGGGGGGGTATTTTGCTTTTTGAGGTCTTTTTCATTTTGTCATTCTTTGTTTTTTGTTCTAATTTGTTTGTTGTTGGGTTTATTTTCCGTTGTTCTTTTTTTGGTATTTTTTTGTTTTGTTTTGGGGTTGTTGGGGGGGGGGGGGTATGTTGAATTATTTTTTTATTCTTGAAACATAAGAGAAAATTTAGCTACCACTAGACCCCGGCCCTCTCATGTCTGTGGGTGGTTGGCGGGTGCTCTGGTGTGGTTTGCTCCTTCTCTCCTATCAAACGTGTATCATCGTTTTCTCACCTCCTTCTTTTTAATTTTGTGTTTGTTACTCTCTTGCAACACCTCTAATCTTCGGCACTTATATGACTTTATTGTGTTACGAGTGCCGTAAAACTCTTACTGAAGCAAAACTCTCCCGTTTGTGTGGACAGACTCAGCCAGCCAGTAACACGCTGTCCTTCGCCCCGGCCCAGCTACAGATCCAGTACCTGCAGCAGCAGACCGCGACCGGAGCCTTGGGCCAACCTGTAAGTTATGTCCATAATTGTGTCCCTTGTTTTGTCTCTTTTTTTTTGGTCCCTTGTTATGTCCTTTGTTTGTCGCAGCAGCAGACTACGACCGAGGGCTTGGGCCAACCTGTAAGTTATGTCCATAATTATGTCCCTTGTTATGTCCTTTGTTTGTCGCAGCAGCAGACTACGACCGGGGGCTTGGGCCAACTTGTAAGTTATGTCCCTTGTTATCATGTCCCTCGTTTATCTCAGCAGCCCCGACACCCCTCCATATATCTTATTTCTGTCTCCACTCACCTTAATACTTAATATGTCTCTTTTTTTTGGTTGTCTCTACCTGTTTATATTCTGCTTTGGTTTGTCTCAATTGTCTGTGTCCAATTGCG